TCTGAGCGCAGCTTCTCCACCTTGGCTCTGCCTGTCCTTTCTGCTTCCAACTCCTCCTCCAGCTCCTCAATCCGCGCCTGTGCTCCAGGGATGAAGTTGCTGTCAGCAGACTTGGTTCCACCCAACTCCTCCACTCTCCTCAACCAATTGAGCTGGAGACTTTTCAACCCAAATCTCCCCAATAAGCTGAAAATTCTTCAGCTCATCCCAGACATCTGAACATTTGTCAACCAACTGGAAACTCCTAAACTCATCCTAACCAGATAAAGACTCTTCACCTCAACCCAACCAGCCAGAGGCTCTCCAGTCCAGCCCAAATAAGCAGAGAATAGATCCCTCACCTGCAGCTCTTTCAGCTTCTTCTGGAGCTGCAGAGCCAGAGCCTGCTCATCCTCAATCTTGCTGTTCTGCTGGTTGATCTCAAACTCTTTCCTGCAAATGAAAGCAGTCAGCAGTGAGGTCCCTGCCCTTGCCCCCTGCCAGTTTAGACTGGGGAAAGAGGTCAATCTTTACTTCTTGAGCTTCTCCTCCAGCTGCTGCTTGTCATTCTCTAGGTCCATGATGTTCTCCTGGGTCAGCTTCAAGTCACCTTCCAGCTTCCTTTTGGCCCGTTCCAAGTCCATCCGGACCTTCTTCTCCTGTTCTAGGGAGCCTTCAAGCTGTGTGGTTAACATGGAAATGGGGGAAACCTCAGTTATCATATCTGCCCCAGAAAGCTCCTCACCATTACCCATGGTGGGACTAGACTACACTCACGTCATCCACTTGCTGTTCCATCTTGAGTTTGGCCTTTGTCAAGGTGTTGACTTTATCTTCCTCTGCCTGTAGGTCATCCAGCGTCTGCTGGTGAGATTCTTGCAGGGCCTTCTTTTCCTTTGTTAGCTTGGCAATGGTTTCATCCAGCCCAGCCATCTCCTCTGTGAGGTTCTTGACCTGAGGAAGAGAAACACTAGGCCTCCAGCTTAGTACCAGAGGTAGAGCAAAGCTGGGTGACACTGCTGTTGTCCTTGGCTAATTAAGCCACTGCAATGGTAGAGAACCCAAAGGATGTTGAGTCTTCATGTAGCCCAGATCAACTAGCCTGGAATCTCCTCAACCTAATACAACCAGGTTGTATTGACCCAAATCCCCACAACTTAAGGTCAAGGCCTGTCTCCACTCTCACCTTGTTCTCAGTGGCATGTTTCTCTTTCTCCACCTTGGCCAGAGTCAGCTCTAGATCATCAATATCCTTTTTCAGCTCCGAACACTCATCCTCCAGCTTCCTCTTCCTAGCTGTCAGCTCTGCGTTCATCTCTTCCTCATCCTCCAGTCGCTCTGTCAACTCCTTCACCTTGGCCTCCAACTGGATTTTGTTCTTGATCAGCTGGTCACAGCGCTCCTCAGCATCATTGAGGTTGTCCTGCTCCTGTGTTGGAGTGGTAGGTGAAATAGAGTGGCCCTGGAGGGGTGCTGGTCATCCCCCTGACATGATTTTGGGGGTCAGTCTCACTCACAGCCTGCACTTGGAGCTGAAGGTCATTCTTCTCCTGCAGCATGGAGACCATCTTCTCCTCCAGCTCCTTGCGCCGGGTCTCTGACTTCTCCAGGGCCTCCTTCAACCGCCCAAACTCTTCTTTCATGTTCTGAAGCAAAGCCCAGGAGACCAGGAGCTACATCCAATCCCCTCTATCCATCAACCCTACCCAGCCCATTTTGGATCCCAAGCTGCTCGCCTCATCACCTCCTCCCACCTGCATCTCCTTCTCCGTCTCAGCACTCTTCAACAAGGGCTTGATCTTGAAGTAGAGCTTCATCCAAGGCCAGTTCTTCACCCCCATGAAGGCCCGGATGTTCCACTGGATCACCAGCAGTGAGTCCCTAGAATGGTGACACAGATGCCACTATACCACAAATCTGGTGACCCACCAGAGGTCCCTTCTTAAGGAGAAAAATCCTTCCCCTCTCACCGGCGCTCCAGGATCTTCTTGAACTCAATGCGCATAAGCTGCCCTCGGGCCTGAGCCTGAATGCGGGTGATGATGCGGGAGAGGCGCTCGTCCCGCATCTCCTCCAGAAGTCCCAGCAGCCCAGCTTTGAAGAAGACCTGATGGAGGAAGGAGGCAAGTGAGAGGGTGGATTGGTTGGGAAGAGTTAGTGGACAGATGGATGGGTTGTTAGGGCGATGAAGCAATGGATCACCATTGCTCGGTGGGGTGGATAGGCAGGTGGACACATTAGTGGTGTGACCATGGGTGGTAGGACCACGGAGAGACAAGTGCCCTTACCTTGGTGTGTCCAAATTTGTACTGGTTGTGGTCAATGTCAATGGATCCCAGGAGCTTTTCGGCACCCTTGCGGCTGTCAATGAACTGCCCCTCAGGGATGGCAGCAGGGTTCAAGATGCGATACCTGGTGACGAGAGATGACATGAAAACCCTGAGGTCAGCCCCAGTTGGGTTATCCACTACCTCCCCATATCTCTGTGCCTACCGCTGGCGGAAGTCGCCATAGAGAATGCGGTTGGGGAAGCCCTTGCGGCAAATGCGGATGCCCTCTAGCACTCCATTGCAGCGGAGCTGGTGCATTACCAGGGGGTTGTTCATCACACCTGGTGGGTCATCAAGACTGGTTAGTCAAGGCCTGCCCCACAGCACTGCTTCCCACCACTACTTTTGGCCAGTGCCTAGCACTATCCTCTGGATCAGCCCTCAGGGATAGGCTCACCAGGAGACTTGGTCTCATTGGGGATGATGCAGCGGACGAAATGAGGGTGGGTAGACCGCAGGTTGGTCATCAGCTTGTTGAGATTCTCCTGAAAGATGGAGGGGCAGATGACAAAGGGAATGAAGACACCCCCCCCAGGCTGTCCCACCAGGGGTCATCCCTCGCCTTAGGACATATTTTCCATGCCCACACACCCTGGGGTCCACCAATAACCCTTGGACTCTCACCCGATGCAGGGCAGAGACAGTTTGGAAGGAGGAACCTTTCTTCTTAGCTCCCTTCCCCTTCTCCACCGCTGTTGGAGAAGAAGAAAGGATGAGATTGGACAGGGACAGGGTGGGAAGAACCCCAGATGCTGAGAAAAGTGGTTCCTCTTACGTGCATCAGCCCCAGCATAGTTGGCAAAGAGGTTGGCCAAGAGCTTCAGGGCTGATTTCTGGTAGAGCCCCACCACTGTCTCATTGAGGGGGTCCTTGTTCTTCTCCAGCCACCCAATGATGTTGTAGTCCACTGTGCCAGCATAGTGGATAAGGGCAAAGTGGGCCTCTGGCTTCCCCTTGATGTTTCGTGGCTTCCCAAAGTTGGCCGACTTGCCCAGGTGATTATCAAAGAGCTTGGCCTTGAAGGTCATGTCCGAAGCCTTGGGAAACATGCACTCCTCCTCCAGGATGGACATGATCCCCATGGGCTAGGAAGAAAAGTGGTGGTGGAGGACATCAAGCACAACCCAGCTGACCAACTTTGGGGTCCCTGGCAGGCTCCAACTGAAAAGGCCCTTCCCTAAAAGTCCCTTCACCCTCCACAAGACCCTGAGGGATGTGGTACCTTCTCAATGAGGTCAATGCAGGCCTGGAGGTCCATGCCAAAGTCAATGAACTCCCACTCAATGCCCTCCTTCTTGTATTCCTCCTGCTCCAGCACGAACATGTGGTGGTTGAAAAACTGTTGCAGCTTCTCATTGGTGAAGTTGATGCAGAGCTGCTCGAAGCTGTTGAACTGGGGAAGGAGAGAGGAGATGACCAATGGGTTAACTGGATCAACTCAACACCTAACAGGGTCAACATAATGACCCATAGGTGAACCTGAGACCCAAATAAGTCAACAGAATGCCCAGTAGTATCAATGAGGTCAACTCAACACTCAAGAGGATCAACACAAGGCCCAAAGAGGTCAAGTTTCCAGAAAAAGTCAACATGAAGCTTCAGAAGATTATCTCAACACCCAACTGGATCAACTCAACCCCACGAGGACAAATACCCTGCCACCCCCTCAGTCCTCACATCAAAGATCTCAAATCCAGCGATGTCCAGCACACCAATGAAGTACTGCCTTGGCTGCTTGGTGTCCAGAGAGTTGTTGATCCTCACCACCATCCAGTTAAACATCTTCTCATATACAGCCTTGGCCAAGGCCCCAATGGAGTAGTACACCTGCTGGACATTCTGCCCCTTGGTGACATATTCATTGCCCACCTTCACACGAGGGTGACACAACCCCTTGAGAAGGTCAGCTGAGTTCAGCCCCATCAAGTAGGCTGACTTGTCAGCATCTGCAGAATGTCAAGAAGAAGACATGCTGTCAGATTCCACCTAACCTGGTGACCCCAAGACTGATGTCATCCTGTACCCACTCACCTTCAGTACCATCTGGTTCTGCCTGCTCTTCCCGTTGTTTCTGCTTGAATTTCATGTTGCCAAAGTGCATGATGGCGCCTGTCAGCTTGTAGACACCAGCCTTCTCCTCAGCTGTGAAGCCCAGGACATCAAAAGCGCTCTGGGTGGTAGATGGAATGGGGTAGGAGAGGGCCTTGCCACCAGCTGTCGTCATGGCTCTCTGCTGGCTACCATTTGTGTCCCTCCACCCTTCCAGCTCATCAACTCCTTCATCCGTCATGGATTCATCCACCCATGGACTAACCCATCATGGATTCACCCACCCATCCATCCATCCATCCATCCGAGGACTCATATATCCATTGATCTATCTGTCCATCCATGGATCCATCCATCTATCTGAGGACTACATCCATTCACCTATCCATGTACTCTTCTAACCATGGATCCATCCACCCAACTATCCATCCATCCATCCATCCATCCATCCATCCCTCCATCCATCCATCCATCCATCCATCCATCCATCCATCCACTCATCCATTTATGGACTTATCGATCCATGCACTCATCAATTCACCATTAACTCCATCCATGGATTAATGGACTCATCCATCTGTTTGAGGACTTTCTCATCCATGGACACATCTGTCCACCTAAATACTCCCCCACATGTTTTCATCTCCACCCACAACCTCCTCCACCCTCTGCCTCCTGTCCTACCTTCTGTCCCTCACCCTACATCATCCCAATCCCCCATCTTCCACTCTTCCTCCTTTACCTCTCATCCCTATGTTTCTTCTCTCCTCCACCCATCCATCTTCTACTATCTCAGCCATCCACCTGGCACTTCAATTCATCATGGGGATGTCCACCTGCCCCACCCACCACTTACGTCAGTTGCCAACAGCTCTTCAGAGTCATCGATGGAGGCCACAGTCACCTCTCCTTGGGAGACATAACTGTAGTCATAGGGGTTGTTCGTGATGAGAAGCATCTCTGCTCCGTGGGCCCAGGATAGAGAAGAAAACTGAGCATTTGCACTGGCTAAACAGCCCTAAATCATCCTCAACTGCCCCAGGAAGGAGCAGAGAATTGGAGGAGAGGAAGTAGAAGACTCAGAGCCAAGAGCCCTACTCACCCAGCAATTCTGGCTTCTTGTTGGAGAGGATCTGGTAAAAGATGTGGTAGTTCCTCTCAGCCTTCAGCTGGAAAATGACACGGGACTTCTCCAGGAGGTCTGAGGTGGATATGGAGAGAAGGAAGATGGAGTTTGGGGTGAGGAGATGGATTGAAATATGGAGAGATGGATGGTAGGATGAGGAGATGGTAAAGAGGGGTATCTGGATGGTGGGATGAGGAAATTGAGGGAAGAAGAGAGAAAAATGGAAGGTCAGATGGATAATGGAATGAGATGATGAATCCATCAACTATGAAGACAGATGAAGGGATGGACATGAGTGGAGGAGAGGCAGGCAAGAAGGGATGGAGGTAGACACAAGGAGATGGAGGGTCAGGTGGATGGTGGGATAAGGAGATGGAGATGAAGAGGTGACTGGATGAAGGGAGGGAGGAATGGAGTTCCTGGGTGGATGGATGATGTTTATGGGTGGATGGAGGAGTCCATACATGGATGAGCCCTACGATGGATGAATAAATCCATGGATAGATAAATCCATGGATGGATGGATGAATGACTACAAGACATCCTCTTATTGGGCTCTCAGCCCACTTACAGGTCTCAATGTCAGCTGATGCCAACTTCCCAGTGGCCCCAAAATGGATCCGGATGAACTTCCCCTGGGAAAGTAGTGGCAGGAGGTGGAGGTGGCTGCCTTCATGCAGCAGATCCCACACCATAGATTCTGTACTACAAACTGCTCCTTCCTCATAGACCCTTCCTCATAGAACCCACCCCCATCACTCACAAATCGAGATGAGTTGTCATTGCGGAGGGTCTTGGCGTTGCCAAAGGCTTCCAAAGCAGGGTTGGCCTGGATGATCTGGTCCTCTAGGGTGCCCTGGATGGGGTGGGACAATGCTGGATGTGGACACTGGGGTATACTTTTTGCCAAGGGTACATGGACTGAGGCACTCACCTTGCTGGTATTGGTCACCTCCTTCTTGCGGTCACCAATGGCAGCAATGCTGGCAAAATATTGGATAACCCTCTTGGTGTTGACTGTCTTCCCCGCTCCGGATTCTCCGCTGGGAGGGCAACAGTGAGATATTGGACAACAGCCTGGTGGGTCCTTCCTTCCACCCCACTGCTAAGGGGCAGGGTTGGACAAAGCAGGGTCTTACGTGATGAGGATGGACTGGTTCTCTCGGTCTGCCAAGAAAAGAGAGGAGTCAGGTGGGATGAAGTTGGGAAACACGCTTGGGGTTTTGGGGTTGAGGCTGTGGTTCTCCATCCTCCCAGGTGAGAACCAGTTCTAAGTTGGAAGCCATTTTTTGGAGTGGGATCTTCTATTTTGATGTCCTCACAGGACATCCTTACCTGTCAGCATGTTCTGGTAGGCATTGTCAGAGATGGAGAAGATGTGGGGTGGAGCTTCACTCCGTTTCTTTCCCCGATAGGCAGCCACCACCTCAGCATTGTAGACAGGCAACCACTTGTAGGGGTTGACAGTCACACAGAAGAGCCCTGAGTAAGTCTGGAGACAAGAGCAGGTGGGTCAGAGCTAGGAGGTGCCACCTCACCAGGTCTAGGTGGGGTGCCACATCCTAGGTCTAAGTGGCCCAAGGGAAGTGGTCATGGGATGTCCTGATTTTAGTTGTTCAAAAAGAGGCAGGAGAGAGACATCTTGGATCTGGGTGGCCCACAACTTGCAGAGATGGAACATCTCAATTGTCAGTGGGCCAAGGGCTCTGGGGTCATATTATGTCCCGTCAAGGGGGCTATTGAAGTGACATCTCAGATTTGGGTGGCCAAAGGGGTCAGGGGATGCAACATCTCAGGTCTTGGTGGCTGACGCAATCCAAAAATGGGATATCTTGGGTCTGGATGGCCTAAGGGAGCTGGAGAAGGGCCATCGGGTTCTAGGTGTCCCAAAGTCTGTGAGAAAGTCATACCAGGCTTTAGGTGGCCCACAGACTTTCTAGAAGGCCCATCTGGTTCTTGATATCCCAAGAGCTTTAGAGAAGGATCTCTAGTTTCTATCCACCCCATAGGCTGTGGGGAAGGCCCTGCCTACTTCCCGATGCCCCAGGGGCTTGTGAGAAGGCTCACATAGATCAACCAAGAGGCATAGCGCTCCTTGAGGTTGTAGAGGACAGCAGGCTCATGGAGGAAGGTCAGCATCGCCATATCCTCGATCTTGTCAAATTTGGGGGGGTTCTGCTGGTGAATGTCAGCTTCCTTCACCGTCACTGTCTGGGGGGGAATGGGGAGACATGAGGGTGGGGGTTGGGAGGTATCCATAGCTTCAGGGGTGCCCTGTGGGGTAGGGGGGTGCTCTGTTGGTAGGATTCCTTCCATGGGTTGGGGGGTACCCCCCATTGGTTAGGAGTCTTCAATGGGTCAGGGGCCCCACCACTATTAGCCTGGTTTCCCCCTTCTCCGTTTGCTCCCCCCACAAACCTTCAACCCTCCTCCCTCCTTTAACCCTTCCCCCATTAATTTAATCCCACTAATTCCTCCATCCTTAACTCTTCACCCCCTACTTCCCACCAGCACCTCACCCCCCATGATGCCCAATCCCCGCTCCTTTCCCCCACCAGTCACCCCCTATGCCCCCACCTGCCATCAACCCTTCCCATCCTTAACCCCTCCCTCCATTAATCCTCACCCCCATTAATCCTTTGCCCCGCATGGCCCCTTGTGCCCCTCCCCTCACTCTCCCATCCCCCAGTTGCCCACCTCTCCCAGCTCAGTCTGGACGGTGGCCTCCCCTCCTTGCCGCCCCATCACCCGTCCCCGAACGAACTCCTCCCGGGGGTGGGGGACGAAGCACTCGCTGCGCGGGTCGAAGGGTCTGGTCTGCGCTGCCAGCCGCTCCCGTTCCCCTGGCCGCAGGAAGGGGGCTGCCGCCCCCAGCGCTGCCAGCACTGCATCCGCCATCCTGCCCCACACAGACGGGGACCCTGCATCACCTGGGGAGCTGTGAGGCTGTGGCCACAGGGTCTCACCCTTTATTTCATGGCCCCACACAGCCCCTTTGGCCAGAGTCCATTGCCATGCATGGGCCCCTATAGCCATGCCCAGACCCCTATGGCTGTGGCAGACACTAGAGCCAGACACAGAGCTTTGTAGCTGTGCACAGCCCCATGCATGGGTCCCTATAGATGTGCAGGGAGCCCTATAGCCCTCTGCACACCCACGTAGTCGTGCACTGCCCCATGCACACACTACTGTAGTGATTCAGGGACTCCCTGCAGAGACCCCTATAGCCATTAAAGGACCCCTAATAGTGATGTACCGGACCTCATAGCTGTGTACAGCCCCATGCACAGAATCCTATAGCCATTCATGACCCCATGTATTGAGCCCTACACAGTACACAGACCCCCTATAGCTGTAGGCCAACCCCTTTAGTCATGCAGCGACCCTAATACCCATGCACAGCCCCCTGTACAGGCTCCTATACTGATCCAGGCACCTCCACAACCAGGGACCACCAACCCCTGGAGTGATGCATGGACCCTTGCAACACAAAGATCCCTAGAGGCATGCACAGACCCCCAGAGTGATTCAGGCATCCCTACAGTGATGCATGGAGACCCATAGCAGTGCAAGGACCCCTATAACAATTCAGGGAACCTTAGAGTCCTGCACAGCCCCACATGCAGATCCCATAGCAAAGTATGGATCCCCTGTAGTGATGTGCAGATCCTATAGCAACACATACACCCTATATCAGCATAGCCGCACCGCCTCCCAAAGCACCCATCCTCATGCTGCCCCACAGCGTCACCCTCACCTGGAGTCCGTGGATCTAGCAGGTAGGATGAAGGCAGCTGGAAGGACATGCGGAGGGTGAGTAGGGCTACACCCCATACCCCCTATTGACCCTCTTTACCCCATAGACCCCTTTATGCCCCATAGATCACTTTGCCACATAGACCCCATGTGCCCCATAGCCCTGCTTGTGTCACATAGACTCCCCACAGACCATCAGTGACCCCTAGGTTGCTGTGCCCCCATAGATCTCTTTCCCCCACAGTTTCCCTCTGTACTTCTTAGGTCCTCTGTGCCTCATAACCCCATGTGTACCCCACAGGTCTCCACATCCCAGAGAACGCCTATGTGTCCCATAGGCCCCCTGTGCCCCATATCCCCCACAGATTCCTGTTCTCCATAGATTCCCATATGTCCCATAACCCTCCTGTGCACCCTATAACCCCCACATCCCCCATCATCCCTTCATATCCACATCCCACATTCCCACTATGTCCCCCACCCTCTCCCTCTCTGCCCCACGCCGACACCTGTGCCAGCCCCGCAACCCCAAGGCCTTTATAGACCATCATGGGATGGGGAGGGGAGGAGCATTCCTGGGGAGGGGGTGGCTGATAAGGGAGAAGGAGGGGGGCACCTCCCGACCGCTTTCCCAGCCACAAGGTGGCATTTCTCCAGTGACCCTGGCATCCAGGACCCACATATGCATCCCACGGGATCATCTATGGGGCAGAGCTATAGGGGCGAGCAAAGGCTGTCCAGACCCCTTACTGGGGTAGGATATGGGGTGGGCTAGGGGTCCTGGATGCCTCAGTCTCTTGTGTAGGTGGTATCTATGGAGTCCAGATATCTGGATCACATATTGGGGGGGGGGGGAACTAGGGAGCCCAGGCACGAGGGTCCCTTGTGTGTGTGGGCAATCTATGGGGACCAGGGTGCTTTGGTGGGGTTTGTGATGATTCTGTGGGTCTCAGATGCCAGGTTTCTTTGTGCATGGATGGGATGTATGGGGCTAGGACTCTGGGAACCCTTGTGAAGGGGGTGCTATGGGGCCCGGACGCCTGAGTCCCTGGCCAATGTCCTGTCACCCGCGGGGTGGTGACAGCTCTACCCTGCCAGGTCTATATTGGGACACGGCCGGACAGTGGGGGGGAGATTGTTATCTCGTCCCCCCAGTGAGGCGCCGTGGGGCCGGCAGGGGTCTGAGGGATGGAAGGGGTCTGGCAGCAGTCCCCGAACACCGTGTCCACTTTGTCATCAAGGAGGTGACAAGTGTTCCCGCGAGGTGACACATTCCCGCGGGCGGGGAGGTCCCCACCTCCCCATTGTGCTCCATAGATCCCCCTCCCCTGCCCCACAGAGCCCTTATAGAGCTGTATAACTGCTCCATAGAGCCACAGAGAGTCTCCATAGAGTCGTTTTAGAGCCCCATGGACTCCGCATAGGGCCCCATAGAGACATTACCCCACCCTTCCTCGTCCCGGGTTTGGCGGGGGAGGGGAGCCGCCTGGACGCCGGGGTCCCCTGGGGTCCATCATTCGGCGCCGCCAGGACCGGGAGGGATGGGGCGACAGATGGACGGGGGAAGGGAGGGTGAGGGGGGAAGGGAGGAGGGACAGAGGAATTGAGGGGAGGGACAGGCAGGAGATAGAGGGACAGTGGGATGTAGAGAACATGCAGGGACCAGGGGGACATGGAGGAGGTAGAACGACTGTGGGAGATGGAGGGCACATGGCTGGTGGCCAAGAGGTAGTGGGGTGATATATGGAAAGTCCAGAGCAATGGAGGGACGTGGGACAGAATGTCAGTGGGGCATGGGGAGGTTGTAGGATATGGTGTGTGGTGGGATGGAGCAGCCAGTGGCTAGGGGAGCCCTGAGTCCAGGACAGAGGGACCTGCAGCAGGAGAAGGTGCAACCTCAGGAGCCAAGACATGCCCAAGGGGTCCACTCAGCCTCTGCCCCATATGTGGGGGTCCCAGATGCTGTCACCCACCTCCTGGGGTCCTTCCCTCCCCAACCCCACATCCACCCCCAAACATATCTCTCCCCTCACATGGCTCTGGGTTGGTGTGGAGCAGGTTGAGATTACAGAACACCATGGAGCAGATAGAAATACACTGTGGGGCAGCTCAAGGTTGAGTTCATGGTTCACATCACGCTGCACTGTAGGTCTGGTTGCATAATGCTGTAGGGCACACTGTGCTGCACACTGGTTGGTGATCTTGGGTGGGCCACAGACATCTTGTGGGTGCCATGCCATGAGGAAACCCCACCCTCCCAATACAAACACAGCCCCACAAACACTGCTACTGCTCAATGCTTTTTATTGGCGACCAAGGTTAGGGGGCTGGGAATGGGGGTGGGCCACTTGGAGGTCCAGAGGATATTGTTTGGGATCCAGAGCTTCACTCTTCATTGAGTCCCTTCTGATGGAGAATGAGAAAAAGGGACTATGAGCATGAGGAAGTTGTGGGGCAGCCGTGGGGCAGCTGTAGGGCAGGGTAAAGTCTCACCTTGGCTCCAATGTCGCGGCTCTTGGCCCGCAGCTTGTTGACCTGGGACTCGGCAATGTCGGCACGCTCCTCTGCCTCATCCAGCTCATGCTGCACCTTGCGGAACTTGGCCAGGTTGGAGTTGGCCTGCTCCTCCTGAGGGGGAAGGGATACCAGTGAGGCTCCCACACAGCTCTGTCTGGCCTCCTGCCACCCCATCCTATCCTATCTTCTTATTGCTCCATCTGGCCCACCATGAACCCACCTGTCCTTCCAGACATCCCATCTTCCAGCACCCAAACATCATTCACCTATCCATCTATCCATCCATCCATCCATCCATCCATCCATCCATCCATCCCACCACCATTTCTACATCATACTACCTAACCACTTTCCTCACTTTCTCTTGACCTACTCTCCTCACCCCCTGACACCCCACGCTTTAACCAGACCAAAGTCCCCTGCTACTCCCCACATCCTCTCCCACACGGTCCCCTCCTGGGGGATGATCCCACTGATGTCCCTCCAGTGCTCACCGCCTCCTCTGCCTGTCGCTTGTAGGACTTGACTTTCATTTGTAGCTTGTCCACGAGGTCCTGGAGCCGGACCAGGTTCTTGCGGTCCTCTTCCGTCTGTGGGGTGAGTCACATGTAGGTCAGGAAATGACCCAACCTGCTCTTTGAACCACCACCAGAGCAATGAGGGTCAGGAGAGAGTTAATGATGTTCTTGGGGAGTGGAACTTCTCTAGATCTGTGGGTGGCCTCAACTGTGGGGCAGAAAGTGGGTTATCTCCCTGTATGAAGTATCTTCTTACCTGTGATGGGGTCCCACCTGAGGTTCTAGATCATGCAAAGACACCATGGATGCTGGGAAACCAAGAGGTGTCCTGGGTGGCTCATGACCCAGACAATGTTCTGGGTCCCACTACAGTATCAGACATAGACGCAGTAGGTGGTCTAGTTTACCCGTGTCTCTCTGGCCAGCAGGTCAGACATGTTCTAAGTCATGTGCAGCATGAGACATAAGGCCCTATGGCCACAGGGAATGACCACCAGTGAGACCTCAGGCAACCCACCTGGTAGCTGAGCTCCTTGACACGACGCTCAGACTTGCGGAGACCCTTAACGCTCTCAGCATGGCGCTTCTGCTCAGCCTCCAGCTCATTCTCCAGCTCCCGCACACGAGCCTCCAGCTTCTGCAGCTGCTTCTTGCCCCCTTTGAGGGCCAACTGCTCAGCCTCATCCAATCTCATCTGCAGGTCCTTGATGGTCTGCTCCATGTTCTTCTTCATGCGCTCCAGATGGGCGCTGGTGTCCTGCTCCTTCTTCAGCTCCTCTGCCATCATGGCCGCCTGCCCAAGGAGAGAAGCAAGCAGAGAAGGAGGACCAAAGTATGCTCTCCATCACCCTCCAGTGGAAGGTGTCTTAGATGTTCGTCCCACCATGGCACTCACATCAGTGATGGCTTTCTTGGCCTTCTCCTCAGCATTCCTGCACTCCTGGATAGCCTCTTCCACCTCTGTCTGCAGCTGGGAGATGTCAGCCTCCATCTTCTTCTTCTGGTTGATGAGGCTGGTGTTCTAGAGTTACAGGAGAGGATCTCAGGATGTGTCTGTTGAACTGCTGACCCATCCTTCTTCAACCCCCCCAGTACTTAATGCCTCCC